GCTCCCGGCTCCCCGGCCCCTGCGCCCGGTTGGCGTCCTCTCCCCCGGCACCCGCAGCACCTGTGGGGTCGGTGGGGTTTGCTCTGCGAGAGGCACGTGCTGAGGAAAGTCAGTGCCTCGGGGGCATCAAACCACAGGGCAGGCTCCTTTTCTTCCTCACGTGCATTGGTAATCACACGCCTGGAGCAGTTTAAAAGGACCAACTGGAATTTATTCCAAGATACCAAACACGCACATATAATTTCTGAAGGAAAGAAGCGAGGAGCCGGGGCGGACGCGGCCACAGACCTTGTCCTCCCGCCGCCCGCGGAGGGGCGCGGCCGGCCTCCGGGGATTTGGTTCTCGGGGCGGACACGGGCCTTGGTCACAGTCCCACTGATTTTAACGCTGTGGCTGATTTGGTTTTGGTATTTATTTTGGCTCAACTTGCTCGGAACTTTAGAAAGAAAACCAAAAAAAAGAGCAGCTTTTATGGTGGCCGCTTAAAATGATTTATAAAGGGTGTCCCAAAATTCACGCAAGAAGTAATTTTGATAGAAAACTCAGGTCTATAATTAAACATTGTAAATTTCTATTGATTCATAAAGTATCCAGTATAGGATATGGGATAGCACATCGGGTAAATGGCCTCTGCGGCTTTGCTGGTACCTAGGGCTCCGTGGTCTTCTCTGGTCTTCACTGTCCCTGCTCCTGGGCCATCATTGTACTTGGTGATGCTTATCAAATTGAAGGGATTGACATCAAAGGGCAACAGATGTTAGAATCTGATTCAATAAACCAAGTAAAATTAGGCTTTTATTTTTTGTTGTTGTTAATGCTCACGCAAAATTCAAATCTTGCGTGAATTTTGGGACACCATATATAATTGAAGCTTTGTTTCCTTGAGCAGAGGCCACAGCCAGCTAAGACAGGCAGGAAGCTTGGATTCCTCCATCGCCGGGGCAACCAAGCCTCCTGCTTGCTCCAGCCCCATCTTGGTTGGGTTAATTTGCATATAGTCACTCTGATTGGATAGTGGGCGTGGCTTGCGGCATAGTGGAGGTGTGGTCAATTTGCATGTTTCTCTTTTATTAGAATATACATATATATTGATTTTGAAAGAGAGAGTGAAAGAGAGAGAAAGAGAAGTGGGGGAGGGAGAGATCTGGTGTCTTTCCCTCAGTCATAAGGACAACAGTCATAATGGATTAGGGTCCCACACTTATGACCTCATTTAACCTTAATTATAAAATACAGTCACAAGAAACCAAGATGGCGGCCTACATAAACACCAGAAATTGCTGCATCACACAACCACTTTAAAAGACAAAAGGGACATCATCCAGAACCACAGGAAGGCTGGCTGAGTGGAAATTCTACAACTAGAAGGAAAGAGAAAAGCACAGTGAGACTCAGAGGAGGTGCGAACGTAAAGTGCAGAGGTACAGAGGCACATGTGGAAAGGGCTGGCAACTGAGGATGCGGTTGTCTTTTTCAATCGGGAGGGAGACACAAGCTCCCGATGGCCCTGGACTCCAGTTGCGGATGAGTCTCTGGGGACCCAGACTCATATGGGGAGAAACTGGACTGTCTGGCAGCAGGCGGAACTCGAGGGCAGCTTTCTCTCAGAGGTGTTTGCAGCGATTGCCGGGACACTGAGAAGCGGGGCCTCTAAGGGCAGCCATAGCTGCTTGCTCTGCCCTGTTGATCCCCTGGGACCCTGCCCTGCCCAACCTGTGCTCCAGAGGCTTTTGCATATGGCCCTTTTCAATCTGATAATTACCTAACAAACTTGCAGCTGGCCCAAGGCCCCAGGGCAACTTGCATTGCTTCACAGCTGAGCTCCTGCTGGGTAGCCTCAGGCAGAGGCTAGATTAGCACCTCCTTAGAGATCCAGGAGCCAGTGTGCCCGGTGGTCACAGTGGGACCATCCAGATCGCAGCTCCTCA